ACTTGGCCCACTGACCTACTGTAGTTTCCTTCCTCCGATTGTTCAGGAATCGGCTCCTGTTGCACAATGGGCACGGTGGCTTCGTCCCTATTCTCTTGCATCATTTGCCTCATTTCTTCCCTTTGTTCAGCTAACATAGCCCGCATCATGGCTTGTACTCCAGCCATGGTGATTGGCTCAGGTGCAACTTCTACTACGACTGGTATTTGCTGTATCACTGGGGGTTGATCTCGGTTCCCATTTGCATTCACGTTTCCGCTACGGGTCCTTGCCATCTTTATCTATACACCGAATAAGGTGAATTTAGATCTTTATTTAGGACTGACGTTCAAATCATCCTTATCGCTCCGAAACGTTTACATGTTAGTTCTAATATCGTAGTCGTACGTTTAGAATCCTAAACACATAAGGTTTCCAGATCCGGTCGGCAACAGATCACAGATCCGAACAAATAACAGCATATCAGGCACAAATCTTTTAACACATAAAAGCATTTTAGGCACAATTCCTAAAATAAGCTAGTGCTCTCCTCACAATCATCGCTTAGCATTCTAAGTTTAAGTCTAGAAATCCTACAAATTCCTAGTTCGCTTAAACTAATGCTCTGATACCAACGGTCACATCCCCATTTTCACGGCCAGAAAAGACTAATTTTGTTTATGCTTGTTTGAAAATCAGAGTAACATTTTAAATAAAAGTGTTGCGGAATTTGTCCCAAAACAAAATATGATAAATATTTATCAAAAGCATTTCCAAAGAAATGTATTTCATTAAAAGACTCGGGATGTCATGTTCGATACAGATCAAAAGCATAAACAGTACAACATAAGCCTTACTACATTATTCCGTACTTACAGGCCTATAATCCCTTATCTCTCATCCAAACATCTATGCTCATGCGCCACTACCTGTAATACAAGAAACTGAGTGGATCAGGCTTGGGAGCCTGGTGAGCACATAGGGTTTTCAACATAAGTTTATTAACTTTATCAAACCAAACAAACCCGATTACCCGTTCCCGTTATCCTCACTTTACGTCCCTAAAACATCTAACACAAGGGACCTAGTCTAAGGACTTTCATCGGGGTGACAACACATGCTTCGGGGATTCCTTAGCAATTCATGTCAAATAAGGCAACCATGTGGGGGATGGAGTACTGCTGGTAAACACACAGTTCAAATAAACACCTACAGGTTGCGAGCCTGCTAGCATTCCACTAGACTGTCTAGAATAGTCTGTGGTCGTCATCTATACTCCGCTAGATGATTGGATCATCAATAACTTCTATAACGAGGCCTTTCATTATTTTATTTTGTCACACAGCAACTATTACATCTACCCATGTTTTACCCAACACATTTTGTAGATATAAAATACATATACGGTTTAAAACATGTATAAAATCGTTCATCCAGCATAGCTAGCAAGTATACAGATAATATGCACACACAACACGTAATTTATATAAAATACTTCATATCTATGTGTAAGCTGAAAGTAACTATTCACTCACCTGAAAGGTGGTGACTCTGCACTCGAACAACGCTTCGTTATCTCAAAATAAGTTTCCCTCGACAAAACCTAGTCTCAATACCACTAGGGTTTAGTCTAACATTAACCGCGACTAATTAATAGTCTAGCTATTATTATTATTATATAAGTGTTAAACAACACTCTATATAACTCATAATAATAGCCCAAATAATTATTTTAAGGTCCTAATAATGTTACTATAATTAATTAGAAGCTATATTAAAAATTGCGTAGGCGTAGCTCACTTACAGCGGGTTTTCTTAAAAACCGGGCTTTGCTCGGAGCAGCGTTTCCGAACCGAAAGACCCTTTTTTTCTCGGGACTCCGAGAGCCTCGGGGCTTCCTTCGGGTGCTAGGGGTTCACCTAGGCTTTAGGGGGGGTTAAAAACCCTAGAGAGAGAAAGAAATTAGAGAGAGAAAGAGATTTGGTGTGAATTGCTCGGAACATCTCGCAACTATTTATAGGCTGCTGGACTTCGGACCTACGTTGCGCGTTCAGCAGCATTACGCTGCGCGTAGCTTCGGATAAGGGTCCAGCTCGCATACAGCTGGCTCGCACCCGAACTCGGAAGGGACAAGGCCGAGGTACGCTGGGCGTACCCAACCTCGGACGCGGGGCGTAGTGAATGGTGACGCGTCGTTCATTGGATGCGAGGCTGATCTTCATCGGACGGCCCATATCGAGCCACGTCATCACTATCGCAACAGGTTTCGCAAATTGCACCCTCAAATTCAAAAATTCGTATCTTTCGCATACGAGCTCCGTTTTCGATGTTATTTATATCCACGCGTAGGTGGGAACGTACTCTACAACTTTCGTTTAGGCTCTATTGGCTAATTTTGACTTTATTTTAAAAGTTATATTTTTAACAGGCCGGGACATGATTGGTCTGTTAAAAATTCATAACTTCTTCATCCGACGTCCGTTTTTGTCTGTCTTTTTATCGTTATGCTACTATTAACGAGATCTTCGATTCTCGTTTAGGTTGTGTCGGCTAAAAACCACTCGATCTAATATTCGAACTTCGGGCTGTATACTGCTAAGCCGAAACTTCGAAAAATCATAATTTCTTCATACGAAGTCATATTTGGGCGTTCTTTTTATGGACGCTCTCGGTTTAACATATTCTACGACTTTCGTTTAGATTGCTAAGGCTAAAAGTCGCTCTATCATAAACTCACTATTTACGCTTCCCGGTGTCGCGTCGGTTCCGTCGCGAAACTTCGACGGGTCATAACTTCTTCGTTATAACTCGGATTTCAGCGTTCTTTATATCCCCGAAATCCTTGTTTCGACCACTACAACTTTATGTAAAGATATCGGGCTTATCTCACACTTTAATTTTGACGCTTATTTTTATTCTTTATTAATTATACATATATAATTAAATTATAAGCACACAAATACACATAATTCACATAGTATTCAAATGTTTCATCTTTATTACTTCAAAAAGAGTTACAATAGTTGACCTAGACTATTACATCATCTAAAATGCTTAGCCCTGAAACACGGGCGTTACATTTATAAATTAACATATAGAACTTCCGAATATAACTTCGGAACTATATCGCACACAACATATATATAGAATCCTAAGTATAACTCAAGATCTACATTAGTATACTACTATAACAATAACATGCTAACAACTTTACGATAGTTGTATACTTTCAGATACGAAATAACTATATCCCGGTTATTATAACTATCTACGTTGATACTAATATACTATCATATAGATATAATAATAACGTATATATAATGTTTAGCATGTGTTTTCCCCCGAACTATTAGAAAGTGGGGCCGTGAAACTTACCCTAGTAGCGTGATTTTATGTAATCTAAGCATAAATGGTCAGCGTACGAGGTCGTCGGGGCTCGAGATGCAAGATGGCTTCAGCAAAGGAGAGAGGAGAAAGAAGTTTAGGTGTAAGAATGGTTGAAGTCGGACCTGCTATTTATAGTAAGAATTTTGGACCCTCACGTCGTGAGCCATATAGTCTCACGTCGTGAGTTTGGATCTTATCCCCGTAGACTTGCCATTTGCGTCCCTATCTTCGGAAGGTGGCCATGTGACTCATCACGTCGTGAGATATCCTTGCTCACGTCGTGAGTTTGGATCTTATCCCCTCGCAGCCTCGTCACACACCTTCTAGATTCCGAGATGTGGCAAAATGACTCCTCACGTCGTGAGTTTCTGTGCTAACGTCGTGAGCTCAGTCAGATTAGAGTTTCTGACAGCTGAATCTTCGGAAGGTCGTAACTTTCACATACGAACTCTGTTTTTGACGTTCTTTATATGCACGCGTAGGTATTTACAAGTACAACTCTTTTTTAGACTCTAATAGCTAACTCTAAGTCTATTTTAAATTCCTCTTATTATAGAGATTTATAGTGTTCGGTTTATCATAACTTCTTCATGCGAAGTCAGATTCAGACATTCTCTATATTTTTGGAATCGTATGGACGTATACTTTGAGTTGTATCATAAAGAAAGTTCATATTTGTATTAGAATTTATCATGAACTACATAGCACTCTTATCACATTACTAGTTTAACAAAATCATATTACATGATTGGCATAATCACATATGATTGTCTATTGACCTATTTTGACTAGTGTTACATTTAGTTTTATATTCATTGACTTATAGTCCTCTAAAGTCGAGATATCAAAGCTGAAAGTTTTTAGTTTTTCATTTTTTTTTTGTATTCTGTGAAAGTTTTAAAACATGCATATCTAATTCGTTTGAAGTCGGATTGACATGTGGTTTTTTCCAACTTGTAGTTTATAGTTTGTACATGAGGTTAGACTATAATTTTGTCATTTTTGGTTTAATATTCAATGATTTACAGTCCCCCGAAGTCGGGATATCAAAACTGAAAATTTTCAACTTTTCAGCTATTTGTTTTTGTACTTTGTATTCTGTGAAAATGTTAACACATGCATATCTCATTCGTTTACAGTCGAATTGACATGTGGTTTTTTCCAGAGTGTAGTTTATAGTTTTTACATGATTTTAGACTATAATTTTCTCAATTTTGGTTTCATATTCAATTAGTTAGAGTCCCCCAAAGTCGGGATATCAATATGAAAATTTTCAAAGTTCAACCCACTAAGTAGTAAGTAATTACCAAAAAATTCCGTTTTTCCGGTTCTATATCCACTTTATCCGGTTTCAACCTACCCACTTTGATGTTTCCGGGTTTTCCGGTTCTAGACCCACTTTACCCGGTACCGTACCCGGAACCGAACCAGAACCGGTTCCCATATACCGATCCGGTTACCGGTTCTACAAAATCACGTTAACCGGTTCCGGTTTTCCGGGTCCGGGTCCATCCGGTCCGGGTTTGGACCCACTTTCATCCCTACTTGTATGGAAGCAATAACTTCTATTCTGAAGGGCTTAAACGAAAATACATCGTAGTTCGCGGGGGGAATATTGTTATAGTACATGGACGCATTAGGGCACAAAATATCTTCATCCCCACGCAAAACCCTTTCTGGCGTTCTGTCATTGTATGCGAACCGGAAAGAAATTTGTTCCCTAAATTGATTTTGATTCATATTTTCTTGTCATAAAGCTCTCTGAAATCTCTTTGGATAAGTTCTCCAATGGCTACAAGAAAGCTGGTGCGAGATTTATTTCTCTCTAAGCAGCCGCTTTATCGGCAAAGTTTAGCTTACAAACAGGTTCGTAGCTACTTAAATTGATCGTTGTTGTATTGAAATAGTTTTAGTTGCCTTGAATTTGAGATACGTTTTCTGTTAATTAGTTTTGTTTTCGGTTTTGATGTGTTTAGATTTCTACATCAGCTATGAGGTTAAGGTTTCATGGAGGCGCAAATGTGAACTCTACGTATCGTGAATTTAGCGTGTTTAATGAGTTCTCGAAAAAGATTAAAGGCGAAGTGAACAGGTACTGTTATTTATTTTATAAACTTGAAGGTGGTATAAGTTTTTTATGTTCTAAGGATGAATTAGGATTAATTTAGTACGTTAATTTGTTCACCAAGAGATTGAGTTTTGAACTAGTTATTGATGAAAATATATGGTGGATAAAGGTAGAGTGGTTGAGACCTTCACTTTATCAAATAAGCAACCTGAAAACTGAAAACCTAAAACCTAAAAAGAAGAAAGAAAAAGGAGCCCCATTGTTCTTCAATTATAAAGTTGGCATTGCTTTTCTGATCAAACACTGATAATCCAGAGAGATTCCTCCATTGTGTTAATTTACCTGCTTTCAGAAATCAGGATTTCCAACAAACGGTCAAAGAGTTAAAGGAGAAGACTGAAGAGCTCAAAGGGGTGAAAGAAGACTTAAAAGTTAGGTAATTTGTACCAAAAAGCTTTCTTAATTTATAAGTTTTGCTTTAGTTGCTTATAGGCTGAGACATACCGTTGTATGTCAAAGCTGGTAGACACTTCTAATGAAGGCCCTGAGATGGTGAACTGGCGAATGCAGAACGAAGCAGACAACTGAGCAGCTTTACAAGCGTGTGGATGGTGCATGGACTGAAGCAGAAGCTACAGCAAAGAAGGTTCCATAATCCATTCTCTTTCCCTCTTCAATCTTTTTATCATTATTCTAATTTCTTTCACTACAAATTCTAAATTGCAAGTCTTGTAAAATGTAACCTGTTCATCAGGTATCCGAGAATCTTAAGGAGAAGGTTTCTGCTGCTACAGAAGAGGTCTGTAGACTGTGGAGCCATTTAAGTTTGAACAGCTTTCTGGTTCCATATCTGAGATTAGATTATGAACTTATAATAAGTTAATTCATGTTGTTACAGGTGAAAGAAACTTTAGGGATTGGGAAGCAGGAATCCACAGAATCCTCCAGTTCTTCTGCAAATGAAGCTTCAAAAGATGATAAGCAGTCAGCAGAAGAGAAGGAAGATAAGAAACAGGAATCAGGATATGGTGAGACAGCAGAAACAATATTTAGTAAGGTTAGGTCTGGTGTTTCTTCTTCCTTTCAAAAGGCAAAAGACGCAAAAGTCCTTGACTTGGCAAAAAAGGGTTATGACATTGTGAAAGATGAGCTGAGTGGTAGCCCAAGTAAGAGGAAAAGAGCCAAAGCTGCTTCTGCTGCTTCCTCACAAGCTAATGTTGAAAGAAGTACAAGAACAGATATTGCTGTTGTACCTGTGAAACAATCAAAATTTAATAAAAAGTGGGAGGCTTTCAAGGCAAAAGTGAGTCTTTTTGAGTGATTTTTAGTTTTTCTTTTATATCAAATTATCAATCAAATTTAATTTTTTGTATTCTCTAGATGCAAGGTCATCCGTTATTCAAGCGAGTGAGTGGCTTTAGTGAACCTGTTGTGACAAAAAGCCAAGAGGTATGATCATTTGCAATTTCATTTTCACCAAACTTGCAGGAGGGTATTTTGGTCTTTTAATAAAAAAAGGATGAATAGAATTGATGTACTTCTACAGTGCTACCCTCCCTTAGGAATGATGAAATCCATTAAACATGAAACTTGGAAGTGTTGTTTTGCACGTGTGTTTAATTTCAAAAGGGTATTATGGTAATTTGGTCCTGTTCTTTTTTCAATTGGTTTCCAGATTGCAGAAGATATGCGGGAAAGATGGGAGACTAGTGATCATCCTGTAGTTCATAAAATTCAGGAGTATGCTGCTCTTAACATATTTCTCACATATAAAGCTTTTGTTATATGATTCAAAAGGGGTAATATCGTAATTTTTTTTGCAACAGTATCAATGAAAGTGTGTTTAGAGAGACAGATGCTGCAATGTCATTTAAGGAAATTCGTCGCCGAGACCCGTATGATGATTATGCATTTTGTCTTTAAAAAAAAAAGATTTATAAATTATAACCCATGAACTAAAATCATAACTTTGTGTTTCTCAGGTATTTTTCTTTGCCTGATTTTGTATCTGATGTCCAAGAAATTGTGAAACCAGTCCTCAAGTCATACATCAAAGTAAGTTTGAAGTTGTCTTTTAATCTTTTCTCTATTCTAGTTATTATTTATTTGCCTAGTATTGAAAAAGTTCATGTCTTATGCAATTATAGCATTAAAATTTGCTTTCTTATTTACAAATTTAAAGGGAGAGACTGAAGTATTGGAGAAATATTGTTCCCCTGAAATCATTGAGAGGTGTAAAGCAGAGCACAGGGCCTGTGAGACGCAGGGAACTTTTTATGATAACAAGGTTAGAAAATATTCAAATAATTTGTTTTTATTTTATTTTGTAAAAGCATAATGACTTTACTAATTGTTTTAAAATTGATGCAGATATTACATATATCCGAAGTGGATGTAAGAGAAACCAAAATGATGGGTGACACTCCCTTGATTATTGTTGGGGTATACTTACTTTACTTATACATGTTTTCACACCCAAAAGGGTTAAATACAAAAAATAGCAACATACTTTGATTTTCTTTCAATTACAATAGAAAGAAATGAAAGTATGATAATATGCTATAATAAAAATTAAAAATAAATTGTTGTTTCTTGATACTTAACTGACTTTGGTTTTACAGTTTCAAACACAACAAGTGTATTGTGTACGAGATAGACTTGGTGAAATAACAGAAGGCGGGAAGGTACTTTTTATTCATAGTTGACTTTGACTTTGACTTTATTGATTTTGACTTTGACTTTGACTTTGTAGGATACAATCCACACGGTTCATTATTTGTGGGCAATGCAACTTGTGGAAATGGAAGAAGGTGATGAAGGAGGACATATGCCAATTTGGAAGCTAAGAGATATGCAACAAGTTGGCATTCGGGCTCTTATTTAAGATCATCATAAAATGGTTTTTTATTTATTTATTGCGTTATTAATTCCTTTGGGGATGCAGGGAAATTTTTGTTTCTATTTTTTGGTTTTGTTATAACTTCCTAAAATCCATTAAAGGAATGAGATTGAAATTCAACATATGATGAGTTCTTGCATTCCTAATGTTTTCAACATTTGAATAGATTTTGACATGAGAGCTACATGTAATTTAGTAGCAAAATAAGTTTTTTTTTTGGAAAATGCTAATATACTCAAGATGTTTAAAGACGTGTATTCCGTTGAAATATGGATAAGTTGAAATTTATCAAATGGAATTAAATTGAATTTGTTTCCATTTTTCTATGTATTTTTGTTTGGTTTGTAATTTTGTTAGAAGGATTTGGAAGGCAAATAATGACAATCGACACAATCGACCTTTATCGACTCTTGGTAAGTTTTTGTGTATGGATACTTGCAAAATCTTTAAGTTACCCTTTTGTTAATTATTTGTTCATAAAATATTTATATGAATTATTCTTAGGTTAAGAAAATATATATTAAAGAAAGTAAATCAAAATTTTAACACAATACTTTTGCTGAAGAAAGTAAATTAGAGTATTTCAGTTATTATATTAAAAAAGACTTTAAAAACTTCAGAAAAATCCAACCTATTATATCTTAATACTTAAACAACAAATATATTATTAAAACCAGTTAATTTTATATTTATGCTTTGATGGGTGAACCTACGTAAACTGGCAGTCTTTTGGGTCAAATTTATTATATGGGGAAAATTCCAATAAAACACAACCTAAGGACCTATTATGTATAAACAAACTATTTTACAATTTAATAACCATTAACCACTGTTACTAATGCAAAAGCATTCCGATCAAAGTACATTAAAACCAACAAAATGGAACATATGTTTGGGTCTTATCAATGAATTCGACATCTTTGTGCAATCACCACATCCTAAGCGGTTCTGTTCAATCAACAGGGTGGAAATTATAAATAGTTCGAAAAAAAGAAGATGCAAAAGATTGAGATCTTATTTCTAAAGAAGATTTTGAAAAGGTTACATAAAAGTAAGCAATATATTCTTATGAACGTATTTCACAAAAAAAAGACTTGTATTTTTTCACACGATCTTAATAAATAATATTATTAAAGTCATATATGGCTTTTAAAGCCACGTAAAACTTTTCATGAAAATAGAACAAAAATAGTCTATACATAATAATATTAGAGTTTAAATAGACAAAAAAAAAAAAAGGTTTTTATGAGCATTTACGTATACCTATTCTAGAATTTTCCAATATATTAGTTTTGACCCCAAATACCATGACGGGTTTGTAGGTTTACCCGTCACAAAACATAAATCTGAGCATAATTATACACAAAAGTAATATAATGTTTTTTTTGGATCGACGCATAATAGGTTAAGTTTTTTCTAAGGTTTTCATTGATTAAAATGTCTGAATTAAAAGATTTATGAATTTCAATTGTATTTTACAATGTAGTATGTACTCATCCATAGGGATGTAACTAAGTCAAAACTACCTGTGAGATACTTGAAACCGACTTGAAAATTATTCGAACTAGACTCGATTCAAGTTGTGTTAAGTTCGAGCTACTTGAGTATATTATTAGTCGAACTCGAGTAATTAAATACTGCACGTGAAGCTCACAGTGTAATCAAGCTTAGTTAAATAAAAACTTATACCGCTTTTTTTTTTTTACATAATCAAACGAGTTAGGTCAAACTCATGAGTTCATTCGTATTTCTATTGCAATCTATTATAATTTTGATTGTTCTAATAACTAATCGAGTCGAGTCGAACAAAACCCGAAAATATCAACTAATTTATCCAGCTCGAGCTTGAAAAAGAAGGTTCGATTGAGCTCAAGTCACGTTTCAAGCTCCAGTTTTTTATTCGGGTCGAGTTTCGAGCTTTACAGCAACCGACTCGACTCGTCTCGTTTACACCCCTACCCATCTACAACCAAACGCCAAAGTGTGATAAACTTCTCGATTTTTCTATCAACTCACGAAATCTAGCAAATTAACGACTAATAGGACATAAAATAAAACTATAAAGAGCTATTTCAAGACTCTTTATAGGTAAAAGAATTAGAAATATTTAAGTTAATCTTAAATTTCACAAAATCAAATACCCATCAAAAAAAACTCCTACCACAACATTTATCCTTCATAGTTGAATAAGTAGCTTATTACAACGAAGGATTTACCTTATTTTACAACCAAAATCGAACACTCATAAAAAAAAATCACACCATCACCTTCCCAACAACACTTTCCTTCAACATATCATGCAATTTCCTCGTCTCCTCCGCCACACATTCCCGATCAAACACGGCCGAAACCACCGCCACACCTTCCAAATTCACCACCCCCAACTCCATCACCTCCTTAGCATTCCCCAAATTAATGCCGCCAATAGCCACCACCGGAATCTTGGAAGCCAAACAAACATCTCTCAATCCATCCAAACCAATCGTCCGGTTATTTGCTTTTGTGTTGGTCGGAAATACCCCTCCCGATCCTATGTAATCAGCACCATCCCCCCACGCTTTTAGAGCTTGTTCGGGTGTCTTGCATGAGACCCCAATGATTTTATCGGGCCCCACAAGGGCCCGCACCATGGTGACCGGCATGTCCGCCTGGCCCACATGGACCCCGTCCGCGTCACATGCTAACGCAATGTCCACGCGGTCGTTTATTAGAAGAGGGATGTTGTGGAGACGACATATTTCCACACATGCTTTTGCTGATTCCAGAAACTCTCCCGTTTCCCCTTCTTTTTCCCTACACAGATAACAAATATCAGATATCAGATAACAGATAACAGATAACAGATAACAGATAGCAGATAACAAATAACCTGAGCTGAACAATGGTGGCACCGCCTTCAATGGCAGCTTTAACAGCATCGGTAATGGAACGGCCCCATTTTTTATTCATCCTGGAATCCGTGACAGTGTATAAAAAGAGGTCACTTGGCTCAAACACTTGCATCCTACTTGAATTACACACACTCCTCTTTAGCTTTAACCCATGATCAAAAGGACCTTGAGCTCCATTCCCAATATTAATGTTTTTGCTATACTCCAATACACTCTCAACATATCTTTTTGCTACCTTAACAGCTGATAACATTGAAGAACCCTTTGCCAGCTCAGCAGCTATACATGATGCCAAAGTGCAACCAGTTCCATGTGTATTTCGAGTTTGTATTCGTGATGAACGTAACTCATAAAAATCTTTACCTGAAAACAATAAAAAAAAAAAAATGACAAAGTTGACAAGAAGATGAATACAAGGGGGCAAAAGAGTAATTTCTGGCATACCGTTGAAAAAAATATCTACAGCGTCAGAGGAAGAAGGAAGGTCGCCTCCTTTTACAAGCACGTTTCTGGAAACAATAAATAAAACTGAATAAGCTAATAGTCAATACAACAAATACTTTTATTAAAAAAATAAAAAATAAAAAAATACCGTGGACCCATATCATGTAAAGATTTAGCTGCAAAGCGCATGTCACTAACTGTTTCTAACTGTATGCCACCAAGTAAAGCAGAAGTCTCTTTTAGATTTGGAGTCACAATGTCAGCCATAGGAAGAAGATCCTTCCTGCAATATAAAATATAATTATTAAAGAAATCAAAGAAAGAAAATATATTGCTATTTCTTGCATTTAATAATTTTAGGTATTTTACCGAAATGTATCAAGAATTGAAGGTCCAGCAAGAACATCTCCACTAGTAGACACCATAACAGGATCAACAACTAAAGCTGACTTTATAAAAGTTTGACCAAGTCAAATTCAAAAAATGACTTACTCTAATTTGAATAAATTTGTCATACCTTGAACTGGATATTGCTTTAGACTATCTAGAAGGATCTTGACCATGGCAATTGAAGGAAGCATACCAGTTTTCACCTAAGTTGATATCAATATTAAAATAAAACATCTTTGTGCAATTTCTAGTAAATTACTTAATTAATATATAATTAACATAATCTTACAACATCAACCCGCATATCTGACAAGACAGATTTCAACTGGGCTGCAACAGACTCCTCTGAAAGAATGCTCACATCCTACAAAAGAATACTTAAAAGATATAAAAAAAGAAACATTTTCATATTACTAGAAAACTATAAAAAGAAAATTGGTTTTAAACCTGGACACCAAGGGTATTTTGGGCAGTAACAGCAGTGATGACAGTGGAGCAGTAGACTCCTCTTGCAGCACAAGCTTTAAGATCAGCTTGAATTCCTGCACCAGCTCCTGAATCAGAGCCAGCCACAGTTAAAACATGGGGTGTTTTTTTGTTGCTGGAATCATTTGTGATTGTTAAAGACTTTTCTTCAGGCATTGCTTTAAGAGTCAAAGCACCAAATTGGTCAAATCCTTGTCTACCAGTTTGTTTTGAGCTGAATGTTGTACATATCTGAGGGTAATCAATCAAAAAGTTAGGAAACATAAACATTAAATATAGACAAAATTCAGAATTGATGAGTGATGAAGTGATGTTATGCAGAGTTGGAGAATTCGAGAATCAGGTATCAGCAAAAATCAGAAAGATTGATGAACTGTTGATATGCAGACTTTGGAAAAATCAGAACAAATTACTCAGCAAAACAGAAATCAAACAATTAAAAAGTTACAGAAAGCAAAAGAAACTCAACTAATCGTTAATGGAATAGAAAGGACTTAGATAAGAAAGAAATTATTGAGCTAATAATCACTATCATCGATGCTGAAATCAATTGAGGACGTAGAGAGACCAACGTTTTAGGGTTAAAAAAAAGGTTTTTTTGTATAAAAAAATGAATCGATTTAACCCAATAAAATTTAAAAACCCAGACAACCCTTGGAATCCACAGTTTTCAAACATTAGCAACTTTCTACTACTAGAGTGGTGTTGGGATATACATTTTCGAAGTAGTACTGCAATTTAAAGAATTAGAATCAGTTGAAAAAAGCCATGGATAATCAGATAATTTTACATTTATCTCACTAATCAGTTCTCTTGCTCGTTGCTCTAAATCTGGTTAATTTTGAAAAATTCAGAATCATAACTACAGTTAACAGCATGAGAATCGCGATAACAAATTGCTTCAAATGAACATCCAAACACACACTAGGTCTGAACTGAACATCCAACGTATGCTGGAGCCGATAGTACAA